CTTTTGATGCAAATGACACATTTTTGGACTCGGGGCATGTTTGCGAGTTTTGTTTTGCTGTTTCGCAAAGCCAGGATGAAGACGAAAAGGGCGACTGTGCCCGACTAAAGGCGACATTGTCATTGTCATTATGACATTCACGAACCAAAAAGCAACATTTGCCGGCCACGTTCTGGCAAGATTTTGAAGCAGCGCTCTAAAAGGAACAGACGAAATAACATATTGCTTTTTCAGCAAGCCGGGGGAAAGATGCACAGCCGGAGGGTCTATAGATAGTCAGTCTATAGTCTATAGTCTATAGTCGAAAGTCTGGGCTATACTATAGGCTATAGGGGCAGGGCGGCAGGGTGTGCAAGAAAAAGCGTAGATGCTATGCTATGCTGCAGGCCCTGAAACAGGAGTTTGTCGAACGTCATGTTGCATGTGTAACCTGAACCTGAACTTGAACTTGGCTAGTGTTTTTTGGGAAAGCACCAACCAAGCATCTTTCTGCGGACCCGGACCCTTCCGCGACACTAGTCGAAGGCTTTGGCGGGGGAAGTTGGGCTGGGTATCCCGTGGCCCGTCAAAACCTGTGTTTTTTCACCAAAATATAATTCATGTCTTCAGAAAACATTGATTTTGGAACCAAATGGGGAATCCGTGGCTAACCCGTGAAAAAAACATTGAGTTTTTGACAATTATCAGTGAAGTTTCTGTTTCGGTGTTGCTTTCCCTATATTTAATAATTTGACGGTGACGTTGCCATTCAGATTTGGTACGCGGTACACGTGTAGCCGTAGCAAGTGTTCTCACTTTAACTTAACTTTGCAAAAGCAGGCGCCTGGAGGGTTCTCGAGCATGCCCTAGCTAGCTCCTTCAAGGATTGGACAAAGGATGTTTGGTTCAGACTGTGTTTTTTGGGTGATGTGACACATCAGTGATGTGCAGTGATGTGATGTGGCTTCAAAACATGAGGTCAGCTGAGCAATTTGTTATGATAACTATTGTCATTGTCATTGTTACAGAAGCAGTTACGTTTTGCACAAGCTTGTCTTTTGAAAGCATGATGTGACGGCGGCTATGTTATATAGTATAATATAAGTCTAAGATATAGTCTCTGAGACTGGGGTTCTGATTCTGCTGATCCTATGCGACTGCTGCAGCCGCATTGCCCTTCTTACATGCGTCGTAGATTGGCCCGTCAGTTTCAACGAACAGTCACCCAAATGATACTGAGTGATACCTGTATTAATACTGCTATATTTCTATAGCGAACAACGTTGCAATCTTTGGAATCGCCTCATAGACATCATAATCATAGTCATAGACCTGTTGCCAACCCTGACTGGGCCAAACCGAAATTGCACCCACGGCACCAAACCCCTTGCGCTGCAGGAGAACGAACGTGTGTTAGGAGATCCAACAACTACCGAACCTCTAAAAATGTCATTGTCATGCCTTCACGTTGTTGAGTCTACAGCGAGATTTGCTCGGCCATGGTGAGCCGGTGAGCATCGGCAAATTGGGCCACAAGCCATGGCCGTTTGAGGATGGCACACGGTCTTTTTGACTTTGACCTTGTGGATTCCTTGGCTGAAGAAGCCGATGAAGAGCGAGGCGCTGATTTGCTGGGTTCCTTGGCGGGTTAGAACTTTTCTTTCCACTTTTCACTTTTCACTGTTGGCTGCTTCCCATGAAGCCAGAAATAAAAAAGCCCTTGATTGAGCCTCAATCAAAACCAGGGCAACTGAGTAAGTACTCTGAGTAAGGCTAAGGGCCGGCTAAGGGGCACTCCCAACCATAAATAATTGGTGCGGCCCTTGGTAACTCTTTAAAAATTTGAATTAAAGTCTTTACATGGTGTTGGGTTCACCATTTGATTTTGTGTACCAGTTGATTCTGATTATAAATTATGACGCTCTTGAAATAGCAAGCATGGACCATGGAGGAACTCAACCACATCATGGTGTCTCTGAACCAGTCCGTGAGCCTCAAGTCCAGCCGGGAACTGCACGAACTGATGAAATTGCTGGAGCCGGGTTAGAACTTTTCACCGCCCATTTGTGGCTTCCCATGAAACCAGAAGTCAAAGAGCCAGCTAGCGCTTGAAACAATTATTAATCCTTTGGGTTCCACTCGAGGTGCTCGTTGTTTGTCCGTTTTAGGGTAGCGCAATTATGTAAATCATTGATGCCTTGTGAAGGAGCCGACGAGCCGCTGCTGGATGCCTTGCTTCCTTCGCACGCTGGCGCCAATGCTGACCTGCAGAATGCAGGAGCCGGGTTAGAACTTCCTTCATTGGTTTCATTGGTTGTTTTCCATGAAACCAGAAATCCAAAAGCTAGCACTTGAAATGTGAAATATCCTTTGGGTTCCTCTAGGTGTTGCCAATCTAGGTGCGTGTTATCGTTGTTTTCCTTTTTTGGGTAGCTGTAGCACAATTATTATTAATAATTATGTACTAGCCCGTTCCTTGGTGCCTTGTAAAGGAGCCGACGAGGAGAGTGGCGACCTGCTGCTTGCCTTGCTTCCTCCGCATGCACGCGCCAATGAGGAGAGTGGTGCTGACCTGAATGCAGGAGCTGGGCTAGAGCTTTTCAACCCATTGGTTTCATTGGTTGTTTCCCATGAAGCCAGAACTCGAGCTAGCTAGCACTTGAAATAACCTTGCCTTTGGACCTTTGGCCTTTGGGTTCCGCACTAAGTACTCTTTGATTTCTTTTTTGGGGTAGCACAGGCACAATTATTAGTTACTAGTTACTAGCCCGTTCCTTGGTTCCTTGTAAAGGAGCCGGCGAGGAGGAGATTGGCAACCTGCTGGACGACTTGCTTCCTTCGCATGCAGGCGCCGCTGACCTGCTGAATGCAGGAGCCGGGTTAGAACTTGTCGCCGCCCATTGTTTTCATTGGTTGTTTCCCATCAAAGCAGAAATCCATAAGCGGCATCATAAGCTAGCACTTGCAATAGCCTTAACTTAACTCTAAGTGCTGTTTGATTTCTGTTTTTGGAGTAGCACAGTAGCACAACGTAGACTACGTACTATCATTGATGCCTTGTAAAGGAGCCGATGAGCCGGAGAGTAGCAACCTGCTGGATTGTTTGTTGGAAAGCGCCGAGGAGGAGTGCTGCATTGACGCTTCTTCTTCTTCTGGTGATTCAGATGATGTGGACCTAGATCCGGATGTGACCGAGGGTGATGGCGTCTCTTCAGCTCACTTGCAGCTCGCGCGTCAAGGGCACCAACCATCAGACGAGGCAAAGCAGGGCTGTTGCGCTGCCCAACGTATTTGTTATTTGTTTATTGTTTGTCGCCTGCCGTTCTGCAAATTCCTTCTTGAAGTGTAGATTAAATTGTGGGCCTGCGGGCATTCTGCACCATGTGACAGGCTAGTTCAACTGTTGACAGTTCCGCTCAATCATGTGTTCCTCACTTCCTAGTCCGTACTCCGTACTCATACTCCCCTTATTTCGCCTTTGCGTGTTCATTTTCAATTCCTTCGCTTTCGCTGTTTGCGCTGCGTCACTGTGGTTACCATTACTATTAGACTATTTTGTTTAAAACTTATTTAGGTTTTAGTCAAACCAAGTCAGTGGGCTTGCAAAGCAAACTTGGAAGGCCCCAGCTGACAGAGGTTTTGGGCGCGGCGCTGGGCGAGATCGGACAAAACCCCAGCTTGCTCTTCTTGCTGCGGTTGGCCGGGCAGCGCTAGCACAAAAGAGACTACAAAATGCAGTTGCAGGTCAGGCAAGCACTCTTCGCGAATACACAGACAAGTTGAACCTTGTGAAAGGCATGCGGGCTCCGCGCTTGGCTATCACTGGTTCCAGGTCCAGATCGCAGACAGGCCTAGGCCTTGGCTTGAAGCTGGTCGACTCAACGACCAAAAGCCGGTTTGCCTTGACCTGGGAGGAAATCATTCGAATGGCCTTTGACCGCCGCCGCAATAAGCACTGCCTCGCAGACAGGTTTGAGATTGCCCGCTCAACTGTCAGGCGCTTGATTATGGTGGTGAGCCACAGCTTGCTGGAGCTGCAGCTGAAGCAGTTGGAGTCCTTGGCTGACTTTGCTGAGCAACGCCGCCCAGACTTTTCATCAGTTTGCTTGATGTGGGACGAGACCGGGCAGCGGCTTAGCCTGAATGCTATCAAAGGCGGCAAGCATCACCAGCAATCAAGCACATGGCAGACACTGGTCGCAAGGTGTCACATTACTGTTGGCTTTCGCGACGGGATCAAGCTGTACCACGAACTGGTGATGCCGCCAGTCCCACTTGCTGCAAACAGTGCGGGCCACATAGAACGCGGCCTTTTTGCGCACCCTCTCACTCAGCCCATGATGGCTTTCACGCTTCGCATTCTTCGGGCGTCATCCAGGCGATGCTTCATTCACGAGATGGACGGGCACTTAGCGAACGAAAAGCTTGTGCTGTGGAGGCAGTTGCAGGAGGTGGAGAGACGACGGTCCGGAGGTGACGCGGCGGAACCACCCATTTTGATGGATGCCATTCTTTGCCAAAACCACCAAGCGAACCTGACCGTCACCCTAGCGGCAGACCAAGCAGCAGCTTCGCCAGAGGCCGGGGGAGGGAAACTGATCCCGAACCTCTACTGCTGCACGCTGTTCCTCAGGATGGGGGGACACTTTGTCCGCTTGCTGGCATCAGTGCAGATTCTTGTGAAGCAGCCGGATTTTTTTGAATGGATCCCGTCTGGAAAGGCTTGCAGTGAGCAAGTCAGGTCTGGCATGTTGTTTGGAGCAGAACTTGCAGCCTATTTGGTTGACAATTTGAAGTTTCACGAGAAGATCATGGCCTTGAACTTTCAGGCACAGACCACCCGCAAAGCTGACGAGATACGGAACTGCTTCATCAAAGTCCTGAATGGGCCTTACTGGAACCGTGACAAGCTGATTCATCGGTGCACGTATGACGGGTGTTGCAGTTCCTTGCAAGAGGCTCAGCAAAAGACAGCAGCGGCAGTCATGCATGTTGTTTGCAGATACGTGCCGTGCCTTCCAATGCTGTCCGACTGGACCAAGCTGGGCCCGTGCTTAGACTTCTACATGGCTGCGCAGCACCAGAATGTTCTGGGAAAGTTACTTGACCGCGCAGCTTGGGCGATGAAGTTTCCTCAGCATGCTGAGCTGCGCGAAGATGAAGAAGTTGACTGGCACGGGCTGGCCGGACGACGCTTTCAGAGAGCCAGGAGCTGTTTGTCATGCGCCTTGGCATTGGCCACATGGTTGTCGCAGCATCATTTTGGGACTTTGTAAGTGGTTTGCATTAATAAAACAGTCAAGTCAAATTAGAAATGTCAGGTTGCTGTGTCCCTGCTGCTTGAACTCTTTACTCTTTACTCTTTACTGCTTTACTATTTACTTTTTGCCCTAGTGTTACCGTTACCGTTACCTGTAAAACTTCTCTGTAAAACTGTATGTCATGTTTGTACTGTAAATAATTTAACTAAACTACCGCCCTCACAAGTTGTGACTCACAAGAGAATGTTTGTGAATTGTACCACGCCTGTCACCAACAACCTAACATAAGTCGTTGCAGACGTGTGACGCATGTCGTTTCTTAGGCTAGACTGCAGACATGTGACATGTGCACTTTTTGGCTTTTGGGCCAACGCTTGGAAATATTTTTGTCACGCACAGTCACAGATTGTTCAGTTGTTAGAGTCAGAGTCAAACCAACACGGCCACTGCCACCGATACTACACCATGGACTGGGGGAACGTGTCCTGAGGCAGAGAGGAGCAGTTCCACAGAACATTGCTGGCCATCATGGTGGAGCCTTTGAGGCACTTGCACTCTGTCTTCTTGAAATTTGCCCACGCAGCCGCAGACGACCAGAACTGGCCTCCCTTGCTGGGAGAAGTATGGGCGCCTTGCAGTAAGTATGTGGCGGTTCTCCAGTACTACTCCAGCTTGCTCAGCGGCCAAGGCTCTCGGCTGCGCCTTCTGTGGCAGCTTGGCGGTCATGCCAGCATGGAGAGCTGGTTCTCCGAGGAGCCAGGGCAGGTGAGCAGGGTTCGCTCAAACATCCTGATGATTGCCAGCTCTTTGCATCGTCGCTTCAGCACCTCGCTGAACAAGTGGCCGTGGCGCTTGTTTGGGATCGCTGACATGCGCCGGCTCGGTGACCATGAGAGCCTGATTCAACAGTTTTGGGCAACACAGCCCTGCTGCTTGCCTGTTGGCTTTGCTCGGGATCTCCGCACAAATGTCTCCGAGGCAACCTTCAGAGCGGATCTGGACTCCTGGAGATGGGCGTTCTTGATGACGGCGCTCACCCTCAAGCTCACGATTGCTGGGGTTGAGCGTCGTCACGCGACGCACAAGCAGCAGTCCCATCCGCAGATGGCATTTCACATATTCTCGGCTGACTCGATTATCAGCGAATCCAGGCATCAGCTGCTGAGTCTTGAACGGCTTATTGCAGAGCGCCGCGCTCGAGCAGATGAGGAGTATGCAGCAGAGCACAGAGCAGAAGGTGATGCGCCGGCGCGAGGGCCCAAGCGCCGGGTATCCTCAGGACCTGGACATGCTTCAACTTCTGCTGGCTCATCAATTCCTCCAGAGCCGAAGCTAAAGCGCCTACGAGCCGCAAGCACTTGGGACTTGTTCAGATCCGATTGGTTCAGACAGGAGAAGACCATGGGGCGGAAGCGCTGGCCGGGCGATCCTCACTGTTGGCGTGACTGCCGTGAAGAGTTTGACGCTTTGACAGAAGATCAGCGAGCAAGACTGGAAGCTAGATCCAGGGCATCACGGGGGCTGACCGTCCCTTGGCTGCTTTTTAGCCTAGCCTTAGCTGATGCGTGGATGCGGTAATGGTACCCGGGAGCTTTGATTCATGCTGCTGCCTTTCTCTTGGCGTTTAATGTGTCTGTGCAGTAACGTTTAGTTTAATGTAATCGTCATCGTCATCGTGGTTTTCTGGTGGTGGGCCTTGGGCCTTGGGTTCTGAGTGATTTCTAGCGGTTTTGGGTGTTTGCGGTTTGCGGTTTACGAGCTTTTTGCGGGCGTGTTGCGAGTAATTCCGGGCGGGGAAAATGCGAAAAGGACCAACTCTGACTCTGAAATCTCACGTGCCGAATGTTTAGTCTTAGTTAGTAGGTTTAAGGCGACTTCACCGAAAACCCATCGAGATTTGGGAAAAGCAAGCTAAAGGCGGGAACTACCAGGAATCATGGAGAATGAATCTCTAGGGTCTAGAGTCTAGAGTCTAGGTAGGGTGTATATTTGATTGACATGTAATTGATGTGATGGATGGAGTGATGACGGACCCCTTTGTGAGATAAGTTGAAATAGACATTGACATTGACATTGACCAGGCCCATGAGCAAGTAACAAGCCACTGGTTATTAATAAACTAAGGTATCGGCAATATTTTGTATACGCTCTTTTTGTTTTGCCTGACAGACAGCAGCTAGATTCTCAGCTAGATTCTAGATGTGACCATGTGTGGTATTGCTGCTGGTTTCATTTGATACCTGCCCACCCCAACTGCAAGTGACATTGATTCTGGTGACTGGTGACATGTTGCCGAATGTTCCCATTTGTTTGGCATTTCACATTGACGCAATCATGTCGCTTGACTTCGACGAACTTGAGTCTGAGTGACATGAATGACTCCCCCCGCCTGACTCAGGCAAGTGAATCCGAATGAAGCTCATTTTACTCTGAGGTTGGTGTTTGCTCTGCTTTTGGACGAACCATTCTGACATGCGACACCCCGTGACACCCTGCTTCATTCTGCTTCATTGTTTGAGGGGTGCGCAGAACACAGTACAGGTTGGACTCACAGTACTAAGTACTCAGCACAGATGACATTACACTGAATTGCACTATTACACAGTACGCAGCGCATGGTGCACTACTACACCGTACAACACACCACTGCGCTGTAATCACTTACTGTTACTGTCATCCTGAGTCATCCTAGCAATACTTCAAGTATACAGTATATTTCACTTAATATAAATATACATACTACATAACTTAAATGTAATTTAATTGAATCATATCGTGCAAACAAATACAATTGGAAATAAGGAAAGGTTTTTCTGAAATCCCCCAGGTCCCAATGCTAAATCTTGGTTTCCCAGCACTAAACTAACCTGATACCTCAGACACACAACTCACTCTTGCGCACGGTCCCGGTTTCGTCCATCAAGCCTGAGAGCAACATTTCCTGGGAGGGGGACTCAGACTCCCGGCCGCACAGGAGATGAAGCGCAAGCTTCAGAAGTTTCAGCAGAAGCGCCCCATCGCCGATGGCCAGGCAGGCGACGGATCTGGTGACGCTGCCCAAGCGTCCCAAGCGCATCTAGACGACCTTTCGAGCTGCTTTCCTGACGGGCTGGCAGTTTTGAATCGCGAGGCAACTGGCGCAGATTTGGCCTTGGCCCTTGTGCAGCCGCCCTTTCCGGCAGGAGTTGCGTGCCCACGCCTAGATGAACCCCTTGTGCAGCAAGCAACTCGGTCAGGCTCGGTGCCTGATGTGGCGGATTACC